ATCTGGCACAGCTAATCGAGATGCCAAAACCCACTCCTAACGAGTTGGAAAAAAAAAAAAAAAAAAAAAAAGGGACATGATAAGCAAATTGTATGAAGCAGGAATAACTTGCAAAGGAAATACTCAAGGTAACAGCATATTCACCTCCAGATTTTTTGCATCATCGTCTGCATCCTCGATGTCTTGATACTTCACTTTGACCTTATCTCTGTAGCTCTTGATGATTAAAGCTCTGAACCAGCACCCTCTGATGCCACTATCTTGAGAAAGCACTTCAACTTGAGATCCTATGGTCAAACTTTGAATACACATTGGCAACACTGCATCTTTCCCTGATAAGGATACAGAAGAGCGTCCTCCTTTCAGTCTGATTCCCGTGCCACATTCAAATCTGTAAAGATAACCACTTCGATCTTGTATGCCGGCATCAGTAGACTCTCTTTTGTCAGCAAAATACAAGTCTGTTTCACTCTCTTTGGACCAGCGAAGTCTCTTCTTGGGTCTACTTCCAACAGCATCACTAAAAGTTTCTTCTACCATTGTATCATCATCAGACGTTTCAAGTGATGCAGGGGAAATATTTCTCAGTACTTTCTGTTTCCAGTAACCTTCAACTCGTGTGATGTCAAATGCCTTGACACCATCATTATCAAACAGTCTACAGCAAACAAATGGGTCCAACTGCATATCTGTGGCCACATTAAAAAATTTCTCATAATGCTCCGGACTGAGGATGGTTGCCAGTCCATCTATGCATTCGATGCTGAGATCTTGAGAACAAAGAGAAAAGAAAATCTCTCTGTCATTATAGTTACGAGGCAAAACAAAACCAACCTCATCAATTTTGTGAAACCATCGAACCACAACAATCTTGTTTCCACGAGAATCCTCGTACATATCATCTACGTATGCAACAAGCCGTTTACCTTCTTCGGCCAACACATACACAAAGTCATGAACCTGAAAGTTATAGCATAAGAGGGAAAAAAAAAAGTATATAATCAGTACAAGAAACACAAACACGCATTCAAATAAACCAATCAATTTCTATTTCTCTGACAGAAGAATAAGAGACAGATTAGATTCTCACAGATACTTTTACACCATTCCGGCAAAAGGATTCATAGTGGCTGCGCCTTTTTTGACAACTCCATGGTGAACCTAACCACAGAAACTCTGCCTTGTAACCCGGCTTCCACATTTGAACATCCTAAAAATAATTAATTAAGTAAACAAGATGATAACTTTGATTGAACCATATACTCTCTGACTAGAAGAAATAAAAATAAAAACCATAGTTTTATCAGCTAACCTCGATAATATCACTATCCAACTTGTGACTGTCTTTGCTTTGCATAAAACCATCAAATTGTTTACATGAAGGTCGTGGATGTGCATCTGAAAGTGGATTCATAATTATTACAATTGAGTATCATATAACTAAGCAATATTCAGAGAGCAAAAGGATGGAAAAAAAATAAATAAATATTACAAGCACGAAGGAAAACAAAACCATATGCAATAATAATAAAAATAATTATAGCATAAAAGAACCACGAATCCTCCCAAAACTAAGTGTAAAGGGCTTGAAAATCTTAAACTCTCGTCAGTATAATCCTATTTTTGTTCACCATAATGGTCATGAAAAACATAACAAACAGAAAACCTAAAGTACAATCATGAGAGAACATTGTAGATGTTAACCTAGATTGGGGAAGGAATTCCAAGGTTTTTGTTCACCATAATGGTCATGAAAAACATAACAAACAGAAAACCTAAAGTACAATCATGAGAGAACATTGTAGATGTTAACCTAGATTGGGGAAGGAATTCCAAGGTTTTTGTTCACCATAATGGTCATGAAAAACATAACAAACAGAAAACCTAAAGTACAATCATGAGAGAACATTGTAGATGTTAACCTAGATTGGGGAAGGAATTCCAAGGCTCTCAACCAGCTCTTAGAAATTGATTTTAACAATCCTGCATCCCAAATAATTGTCAGTCTTCCATAACATGAGCGCCACACATACATTGATGCGATGACACACGTATTACAAGACAATGCCATGATGTAAACACAAATAAGAGAGTAGGAAAAAAAAAAAAAAAAAGGGGCTAGCAGGAAGCAGAAGTAACAATGCAAAACCGGAATATAATCACTGCTTAGCCCATAATTCTGAAACAAACAATGTAAAAACGAACTTTATGTAGAGGTAGAGTATATATTTGTGAGTCCTCTTTATTATTTCTTCAGAGCAATACATGATTTTTGCAAATATTAGTTAGAAGTCCCCAAATCAAAAGTCAAACTAATTCATAAGAAGTCAATATTCAATTGTGAGTTCAGCATACAAAACCAAATATCCTTAATGAAGCTATTGTCAAACTGAAACCAATCTATTGCTACCACATTATTCACAAGAAAATCCACCAAAAAGTAGAAATGGGGAGAGAGAACATGTCAATATGTGAAACAATTTAGTTTTATGAAAATTGCAAGAAACATTTTCCATTAGCTCATAAAAAGCTTATTTCACCGTTAGCCCTTAAGTGAAGTTGATTTAGGTAATTTTGTGAAAAGTGATTTTTCG